ATCGCGTGACCTGCGAATGTTTTAATAAGGTATGCTAATTGCTACAATTTTTCTAGCAATTGAGACCAGAAAATGTGAGTGTTGCGGATTTGGCAAGATTGTACGTGTTATCTAAAATTTTCGTGTCAAATGAGGTGTAACAACTGCCTAAAATAGACAAAAACATTTCTCGACGTTTCGACCTTCCGTCCGGAACGAAGGCTTTTGGGTTGAAATATGGAGAAGTGTTTTTGCCCATTTGCCCATACCACATTTGTTTGTTCTGGTTATATTGGTACTTATCTAAGAATCGTTTAACTGTAGTTTTGAAGATTAAGACCATCTAAAGTGGCAAAATAAATCAAAATCTAACATTAAGAACTGACAGTTTTAAAAACTCTGATATTCGTCACCAAAAGTGCAAATTTAATGACACGTTTTTGAGCTATTTAGGAAACAGACCTGTATGTCTGAACGTAAACAAATGTGACACAAAATTATTTTAGCATTCAGATACCTCTGACTGAATAATAATGAATACTCTTTCTGCATGTTGCGAACGTTTAATTGTGTTTAGTATCGTGTATACAGCATTACGCATATAGCTTCACAGGGGGGTGGAGGGCGGTGAGGGACAAGGGGTCAATAGACAAATTAGGCATTAGCCATATATCAATATTGTACATATATCAATATGTTCCCCCTCAATCAACGTTCGATTGACGCCCATGAATTAAGGTAACATAGTCGATGCTTTTAGTTAGCCGGGTTCTAATACATGTTAAGTACATGTACAGTAGTTTATTCCTGACTCTTGATTTTGTCCTTAATATTATTTGACATATAAGTATCTACGGGGGTTAAAAATGGAAATACCACATGTTTCATGAGGGACCCATGTGGTATTAAATAGTTATCAGTACTAAAATTAAAGATTACAATTATTTAGAAAAACTTAGCTTCTTTCCGCGCCTAAGTGCGCATATGAGCAATTAAAACTTATAAAGAATATTTTTTTATGAATGTAAAGGAAAGTAAATTCTTCTGTATTCAATACTCAAGCCCCTTTCAATGTCTACTCGCACGATCCAATTTTGTTGTATCCACTTCACTTTTGACGTATGAAATATAGTCGGCAATTGATGAAACTGTTGTGCATTGATATACATTAATTACATTAATATACAGCTGATATACATTACAAGACAACAGACTATAGCCCCGTTTACACTACAGTCAATTTATTGGCACGGCGCGTACCCATACCCAATTTTATTAGTGTTTAGGCTATCAATACAAAGGCCGGGCACGGGTACCCATTTTAACCGTGCCGTGCCGATAAATTGAGTGTAGTGTAAACGGGGCTTATAAAACATCCATCAGAATTGAATTGGATCGTGCGAAGAGACCGTTACATTGCACTTGATTTATTGGCATGGCAAGGCTAAAATGGGACTATAAAACATCTATCAGAAGTGAATTGGCCATATTGTGAACAGACCTAACAAATATTACATGCACGATATACTTTTGACTTTCCCTTTTGGCACGCTGTTCTTTTTTCTTTACTTTTTTTCATGTTATTAAAATGCTATAGGTTTTTTTTGGGGCTCGACTGTTATTTGTGCTTTCCCACTATGCTATAAAAAGTAACATCCATTTAGGTCGTTCATGTGCACAAGGAAAAAGTAGCCCGTAGAGAGATCGGTGTCCTGGCATCAAGCAAGAACACAACACGAGGACACAAAATAATCGCTCCTTCACAGAGAGAACAACCCAAACGTTACCAAAGACAGCCGATTGACTACAATGCACTAGATGCAGTCGGTAGGTGGAATGTCTGACTACAATGCACGAGATGCAGGCGGTAGAAAGAAGATCATCTTGTGGTATAGTGTCTAGCGGAAATTGACAAGGACGCTTACATGTAAACAATATGAACTTATTTGTCAGTAATCTAGCAACCCTGTTTTATATAGGTCTATATTGCTAAAGTCAGAGTTTCCACAATAAAGAAATTTCCTTAAAAATGAGAGAGAGAGGGAGGGAGCAGTGTTGGATATATCATGCTATCTTTCAAAAGTTCTTTGTCTCTCTCATTGTCATTCTATCACCCTATGAGGACAGTCAAATGTAAATAGGTTGTGGAAACCGTGCTAAAGATTTAAAATTGAGCGTTATTTTTATTCATTCTATTTGAGGTCACGGTTCCAAGTCTGCTACAGCAGAACCAAAGCGGAATCCGTCTGTACGTAGCAATCAACGATCAACGGCTGTACCCAACACGCCTACAGCACCTCCCACCGCACCAAAGGCGGTTACTACAGGCACTCTTCGAGTTCGAACTAAGAACCAACCACCCCCAAGTGCACCCCCACCCCCACCTGAAGTTCCAAAAATCCCAAATGGGGGATACCCCCCTCCCTCTTTGCCAAATGTTGCCCCACCCCCGCCACCCATGATAAACCCACCAGGCTCCCCTGTTGACTTGCCACCACCACCCCCTCCAATACCTGCAGATTTAGAACCTATGTCACCAGGTCCACCACCACCTCCCCCTATGACGCTTGATGTGGATGGTAATCAAAATGCTTTGCATGGTAATGATTTAATTATGTTTTGGCGATGAATGATCGGGATTACCGGTAATGCCAATACTCTGACCTGAAATTATATTACGCTCACTATATACATCTGTACGATTTACTGATAGACAGTTGATCCGTACTTTCTTTAGTTGAAACAATAGATTAAAGCAGATATTTCATTACTTTCTGCCAACTATATAGTTGTTAGTTTGGGTAAACACCAACGTCAGATTGAAATTTAACAACTTATGTATTCATTCAATTAATCTACACTAAACCTAACAATCTTCGCGTAAGTATTCTCTTGATATATATCACTAGTGCTCTGACGGTTTCGTGTATCGTGAATAATCGCATCAACTAACTCAATAATCGCATCAACTAACAAACGTCAACTAACAATCGTACGTATATGCATTCACTCCCGTGTTACAATTTTTTTCCAGAGTTCCTTCCACCACCGCCTAGTCCTTTCGCAAATCAGGGAGAGCCGAGTAGCTCAGGTTTGATACAATTAATCAGCTGACGCCTAAAATTAGGCTGAATAATCCCTGTTTCCTCACTTTTACCCTTCATTCTTGTTGTACTATTACTCTTTCTATTCGTGGGATATATTGATATTTACAAATATTATATATAGATCTGATCCAGACCCTTCGATTACATTGACATAATACACAATTCCCACCAAAGCCCCGTTTACACTACATTCAATTTATCAGCACGGCACGGCTAAGAATATACTATGTATGATAATATCTAACATCTAAACCACCTACATGCATCTATGCAATTCATCTCTAATTATCGAATAAACCTATTTTTCATTTTTTCATTCAATTAACAAAGAACCATAATTGATTAATTTAGTGCCTCTAGGGTCATTTTCTATATGTTCTTTGTCACCATTGTTTTGCGTATTTCATTCTCTGAAATCTTTAATTCACGAGTGCTTTGCAAAGTTTCTCTGATGTATTTTCAGAGCAACTTGATTGGAAAACTAAACTTAGTCGATTAAATTGGAATTATTTTGTCGCAGGTGAATTCAGTCCATTACCACCGCCACCCCCACCGATGCCCGATGCAGATCCTGCGCCTGCCCTCCCGGCTTGGGTTCCTGAAAACTACGAGGAAAAAGGTGGAGTATATATGGATAGTTGTATCAATCCCTGTGTGAAAATAGGGACGATAAGTACATCAATGTTCTCAACAGTATATGCTTTTATCTCGTATATAGTTGTCAGTATTTATGATTACGAAGCAACCAGGGACGATGAATTGTCATTCAAAGAAGGGGAAATAATCTATGTGTTGAAGAAAATAGCGATGGATGGTATGAGGGAGTCTTAGATGGCATGACTGGGCTATTTCCAGGAAATTATGTGGAAATTACCCTATAAACGGTTGCAGTCATTCTATAATTATGCTCTAAATTAAATTCAATCTTTGTTTTAATGAACATGTTATCTATCAATCCACTAAACTCTTAAACTTGGCTGTAAATGCTGACTGAAGCGTAATACTTGTAATGTGATTTTGCATGATTTTTTATGTGAATTCTAGCTAATATACGAATTAGATTCAGAGTTGAGTTATGATGTTATAAAGCTATGAGTTAGATGTCATATGTATAGTTTCAATAAATTCTTTAGACAATTACTATATAGACTTTATATAGTGATTAAACCCAAGTTTAAACCTACCTTGCTGCCTATAGATAGTACCTTCGCAGTGCAATATTTGTCGAAATATCCTAAGCGAAAGTCTAAAGTAATGCTCACTACGAAACAAAAATGTACCAACACCCAATAGGCAATACGATTAAACCAGGAAGACTTTAAATGGAAATGCTATAGCAGGCCGGCAGACATAAGAAACTTTGTTTAAAAAGGTCTTTCAAACAAATTTAAAAATTTGAGGACTGGGAAGGCTTTGCAGGCCTGCTGCCGAAAGAGTTCTCGCTATACGATCTATAGCTGCGCAGAGCTTTGTTCAATATGAAGAAACATACACCAAGAGAAGGGTGGACACCAGCATTACGTTTGGCTGACTGTTGCAATATTTTGAACTATACTGCAGGGGTCGGTTGTATCAAGCCCGTTTAGCTTATACGGTGAATAAGTTCAAAATAAATGTTTTTGACCTTAATACAAAGATACTGTTTACAACTGAGGCCAGAACAGGCGTCTTGTTTAATTTTGACTTACCCACCGTTTAAGCTTAACGGGCTTGATACAACCGGGCCCAGCACTATACTGGTCCATATCCTGGTATATTCGACATTCACTAGGTTTTACCGTGTCAGTCTGTTTTTATTATATGGCTTTTTACTTTTTAAAACGGTTTGTACTTTGGTTGATTCTAGACTTCTAGTTTTCAATTTTTTCCCTGTGGAAAATGCCTGCGAACAGGCGGTAGCAACTGGTGCCGGAAATTGGATTATTGGAAATCTCAGGAAATGTGCAACATGGCGAATATTAGCGTCAAGAAGTGAAAGATCAAAGTGATATTAAATTTGAAAACAATGCTCGGACAGACAGGAATATACCCGTTTGGACATATTAATCTGTGATCGAGGTTTTAGCCAAATAATGGGTGCCATTCTCAAACGATGGAGGGTAAGTTAGAGTTTTTTTCAGTAAAATAGATTAAGCAGATCTACATTTGGTGATTTGGAGTGTGGCAGTGCTTGTGCTAAATTTTTAATCGTGTTTTTCACGTACCCTGTATTTGCTCACAGCGTGAGGAATCTGCTGAAAAAGAATTGGAGTCTTTGCAAGAGGTATTCCGATGCAATTGGTGAATTTGAATAAATATCTTTATTAACTTATATTGTAATATTTTGCTGATCTGTCATGAAGATGTCAGCCACTTGTCCATTAGTTCCCTTTCATCAAGTGTTTGCTTTGCTAAAATTATAAAATCATTCAGAAAAGACCTCTGCATGGTTTAATCGATATTTAAGAAGGCTGCTTCGAAACCAAATAGTATTTACTCATACTGAGTCATGCAGTATCATACACAGTAGTCTTTGTTTAGAGGCTTATTGTATGACTGGGACAATTTTTAACAAGTCTGTTTTGCCTTTGATAATACTGTAGGGCCTATAGCAAACAATGTGTAATGTAATATGCATAGAGAATGATATTTAATTTTAGCACATTTAAACTATAGATTCCTTTCATTTTCATTACTCGTTACTCAATATGTTATATGGGAAGTATATTGAGACTTTGACTATGTTGTTACCATCAATGTTGTTACATACTAACTATTCAATTGTTTATAGCAACTCCACAAACTCGAGTCTGCCAGACAAAAAGATGAACAGTTCTATCAACGATTCATTGGTCGTCTAATGTTTTACTCCATTATGCTGTACATTGTATCAGCTGTGGTTATGTATTTCTACTATTTTCCAAAGCAGTGGAAAGACAGAATTACAAGAATTCTCCCATTATTGATTTTCCCCCTAATGTATGTGCAAGTAAATGCAATCTTGAGTATAACTATTATTAAACAATGTGGCTTGCACTTGATATTCTAAAAGGCTAAAGACAGGGAGAAATATAGATTATAAATCTATATATCTTGTGTTTCAAATCGAAGGTGCCCTAAATATAAACCACATTAGTGGTGTCCTTGCAGCTTTGCATGGCAGTCAAACTATCCCTATACATATTTTTAGCTGCCCTTTTTATTAAGTGCCCCTTGAGATTGGTGCCTCCAATCTGTGGATGCTTCCTACATAAAAAAAGATAAACTAGATGTACACATTAATCTGTAGCCTGCATGGCAGGCGGTAATCCTATGCTGCTCTTTGGTCATACCAAATTAGCCAATTTGTGAAAAAACAACATCTTAAACTGGCCTCATACATGTTGGTCTGTTGTTTTCTTAGAATTTATGGAGTAAGGAGAACACTTATGTATGTGTTTAGTACAAGGAAAAAGAAAAATGGTTTGTTAACAAATTATGCATTTATAGTATAATATATCATAATCATATTTTTGTCTGCAAGGATGCATTTATTTGTATTTCATTGTAATATGATCAGGGCCATCCTCAGGATATTTTACAGGGGGGGTGTAAGGTGATCTAAACCGACTGATTGACGGACTTGTACCGACTACACTCTGGATGAAACTTTGTCAAGTTTATATTGGATCAGTCTATAGTATCAAAAATATTTTTGTCTGCCGACTAAAATAGCAATTTTACCGACTAAACCTAGGAATAAACTTTCTGGGGGGGTGTGACACCCCCCTAAACCCCCCCGTAGCTCCGGGCCTGAATATGATACTATGAATTATTGATAGGTAAATGTGCTTACTCATGATATGCATTAGAATATGCATACACTTTCTTATGTCAATGCAGTGATGTTGTTTTTTTCTTATAGCACAAAAGCTTGAAGAACTTCGATCTAAAAAGCAAAAAATTGTGAGTACACCACACTTTCCTTTCTCTACATACATATGCCTGAATAATTTTTAAAAGCTGACTCACACATACACAATTGTGAGCAATTACAATCATTGCCCACAATATCTTTTGAATTGATTAGCAACATGAAGAGAGAGACAGGAAGTACCATTTTAACCCCAATTTCATCTATAACTATTATATATAGATTGTCATTTTAAATATTGTTGTTCATCTCAATTTCATTGTTCTTAAGATTGAAGATGTAAAGGAAAAAGAAACCTACAAAAAAGCAAAAGAAATACTAGAGAAGTTTGACCCTGAAAACAGTCTTGTGAAGGTTAGTTAAATATTGTTCTATATATAGTGTTCATCAATGTCAATGTTAAATAATAACACAATATATGGTATGCTCTCATCCTGTAGAACGATGCTAAGCAAGACACCAATAACGGAAAAATGCCTTGTGTCACTCCAGGCACTGGTAAGAAGCATGCATAGAATTATATTATCAAATTCTAAATGAATTGAGCAATTTTTCTAAATAGCAGACCCAGTGTCATTCTTGAGGAGGTATGTAAATGCATACAAATATGTCACTTTAGGTCTTTTCCACCACAATCAAAGACTCTATTATTTAGATTTGATTATTTGTACTTATTCATTGCCAAAGGTGAGGTGAATATTGCTGAAATTATGAAGTCAGATGATTATTAGGTGATAATCATGCAGAGGTTGCTTGACCAATCAGTGCCTGCAATTTCCAATAATTTCTTTTGTAATTATACCAAAATGGGTTAACATCACGTTGTGTACATAGAGCATCCACTGGCCATTAATAACTATGTTTTGAATAAAATGCATAAAATTAATATGTTGTTTAAGCATAAAATATATATATATACTTTTCTATCATAGAAGTTAGACAACGAAATGTTCCCAGAGCTATGTCGACACCCAACTCGTCATTTTCTCAAAAACCAGTTCCCTTTTCTGCAACACCTAAAGTACAAATGATGTCCCCACTGCGAGGAATGAGTCCTGCAATGCAAAGGCAATTCTTCATCAATAACATGCCTCCTGGTACGTTTCTAAACCCAAAATAATCTAATAGTGAGAACTAGCACTATGAGACACAATACTGTCTCCTTAGCCCAGCATGTCCTCCGTTAATATCAGAAACTGAAAGAATTCTTTAATTTCCTTAGGTAGATTAGAAATTTAAAGTATTTGCTTATTGCGTGGTAAAAATAGATACAGTAGATCCGTTACAGGAATCCATTTTGAATATTTATGTGCATACTTCGTAGGAACTCCTCCTGGTCCACCACAGCCTATACCAGTTTTACCAAAAGAAAGAACGATGGCTGATAAGGTAGTTATGAGAAGTAACCGATTCTACAATTCGTTGACTAGCCTATCCCTCAAATCCAGAAGTTATGTTATCAGGAAGAAATAAAATGATGCATAATACACTAGCAAAAAAAGATTCAAAGACTTACAGTCGTCCAATAATTTTGTCGATACTACCTGATGATACTACCTGCCTGATGCCCATGCAGTTAAAACCATGTCGTATAAGTCTTTAAGAAAACAGCATTAAATTCGAATAACTAAAAAGGTGTACGACATCAAGTTTTCGTGTTCAAACATCTTTCCAATGATCTTAATACTCATTATTTGTGCTAATCTGGACTCTGCTTACGCGGTAGTGAATAAAAGTGGTGGCTATATATGTATTCTTTGTTTGCATGCATTACAATTTTACTTCAAATCTGCTTTTCAAGAGAAAAAACTAAGTTGTTCTACTTTTCTTGTTTATTTCTTAATTAACTTCTTACCATGTTTTGAGAGATCAACTAAGATGTTACTAATTGCAAACCACCTATATATTTATACAACTTTGCATATATTCCTATATAGTAAGTGTAAAAGTATATTCTGATTGAATTAGTTCGTAGACTACCTCGTTGGCGACGGGCCCAGCAATCGTTACGCTTTAATATGTAAAGCATGTCACTCGCATAATGGAATGGCGCTGAAAGAAGGCTTTGAATATACAAGTAAGAATTTACGTTGCTGTGTATACGATTCACAACGGTTGAAAGTCTCTCGCATCGTGACTATCCGAGTTACAAAAACATTCTAACACCACATGTTAGTAACTTAACGTAATCCTAATCACTCGACTTTTTGCGTTTTAAATTAGTCTTATGAAAACATAGAGACTTTTAAAGTAGACTTTTTCTCATCCCATAGCATTCCGTTGCTGCTATTGTTACCAACTGAATGAAGCGAAAAAACAACGTCCTTCAGCTCCACCACTGGAGGGATTTTCTACTCCAGAACGAAAATTTTCCACAGATGATACAACTATAAATGAAGAACCCTACCATGAGACAGAAAATGTTGAAGAAACGATAGAAGGTAAAAAAGGTCATTTTCTGTGTATTAGTACTGCAGTGCAGTGCAAAAAAGTCTTTTATTCAACACGTTTTTGATTTTTCGTCTCCAATAAACTCCTTTTCCAAAGAAGACATTATATTATAAAAAAAGTGTATTTTAAACATCGCAATGCATTTTCAGATAACTCTGATAAGACCCTCCCGGAATCTTGCTCTGAAGGAAAAGAAGCGGAGAATATCCAAGCAGTCCAAGAAAACCTTTAATATTCATGCTGTTAAAAATCCTCAACGTTGCCGTAACACTAGCTTCAATTACAATCTTAATCGCGCCGAAAAATTGTCGTGCCATAGGAGATTCGAGAGAGAAATTGCACAATAAACATTTCAGATTTTCAGTCAGTTATTGATATTATGATCTGCTAAGAAAAAAAGTCAATGTTCTGTTTTGCGAAACAAAAGGAAATTTCACAATGACCGTCAACCATGTTAATTTCCTAGGCTATAACAGCAGCACTTAGCAGTATGAGATTGAACGACTTCTGCTTCCTGATCCTTTTTTTATATACTAGTAGAAGCGAATTATAACTCAGAAGACAGTGGTGTTGGTAAAGGTCTAGGCCCGCCCAATTTCAGGGAATTATCTGTAAGAGGAAGCCCTGTTGGTTTCTTTAGCCATTTGGCATGGACTTTCTTTCGCCTTTGCAAAAGTAACTCTATGGACAGAAAGTCGAAGTTTTGTCGTTATCGACTATATTTCGTCATAATTTGGAATACTGGGGCCGGTTGTATGAAAGCCGGATTGCGCTATCCACCAGATAGCGATTTTTTACCCGTTCTAGAAAATTTCCAGCTTTTAATGGAACCAACAATTATTAAAGAGGATCCTCAATTTATGAATACTAAGATTTAATCAAACAACGGGCGATTTTGAGGGGGTTAAAAAACCACTATCCGTTGGATACCTCTGCTCGATTACATGATATATAGATATAGAGAGGCGGTCTTGACTTTCTGACGTGTACACATTGTGTGGTGTTAGTCAATGTTTTTTATTATTTTATGTTTAATTTTAAGATATGTGTATTCGAACATATTGAACTGGTTGTGAAAGATTTCCAGAAACTTTAATATGGGTACGACCCAAAAAGATTCACATTATGTTCTTAGACTTTATTTATTTCACGAATAAATTATAGTATATTATCAATAAATATATTTCAAACTTCTGATTTCAAAATCGGACGTGAATATATTGAAAAAATGACATACAATATTTTTTCGCAATTAATATTCACTGTATCATGGGCCAACGAACCAATCAGATGCTTGTATTTGTGTTGTTATGCCTCGCCCCAGCGTCCGCGTTGTATGTCACGTTCGCACTTCGTTCTGCCGGTTCGCGATTGACTAAAAATGCCAGTGTTTATTTCGCAGATTAACCTCGAAATCTCCCCAAATTTCTTCTGAAATCTGCTCCAACAATAAGAGCGTATTTTTTCCGATTCAAACGCATCGCTTCTGATATATTGTCGACGCATAGTTGCAATGCCTCTGCGAAGAAGGGCGATTTATGCGGCCGTAGTTTGTTGTCATTCAATACTATGCGTGCTTGCCCCAAAACGGGGAGTACAGCGCTCGGGTGTGATTCTTGAGCGCTTGTAGGCCGTGTAGACAATGCAAGCGCGGTAACCGAGTGAGCAGGTAGCCTTCTAGGCATTTTCACAACAAAACCTCGCTCATTTCTTCGAGGGAAAACGAATATGGGCGAATACTCGAACGAAAACAATAACTTAGGGGAAGAAATGAAGCTAAAACTATAAAAGTAAGTGAAGTATTTGTCATGTATTTGGCCTAATTTAATATCTATATGCATGGCTTGACCGCTCGCTTCGAGACAAACCACGCAAGCGATAACCAGCTGTTGAAGGGGATTTTTCACAAAGTTTCTTTTAAATTAAGGAATCCTAGTCGTTTCTTTTACGTTCCTGAACGATATTTTGTATTCATCAGTGTTTCTACAAGTATTATGTGATTAAATTTTAGACAGAGTCGCCCGATGGTTCGTGGGTTTCCACGTAATAGCATATTTAAGACATTGCAATGGCGTCGTCAACTAAGAACGAAAAAATCGAGAAAGAACGGCCAACAACGATGTTTGAGGGCAAAAATATCCACTCGTCGCCAGTGGACGGCAAGTTGTTATGTAGCTTTAGCGAGAAGACGTGTATGCAACGGCGTTTGAATCATTATGCTTTCTGTATTCGTCACGTCTTGGAGGATAAAAATTCCCCCTTCAAACAGTGCAATTTTGTCGCAAAATATAATGGACAACGATGCACAAATGCCATTCCATTGAAAGAGGATCGAATGTGAGTTTCATTGCAAACGTTTGGCCTATTTTGGTCCCAAATTTGTCGCATGAAATTTCATATAAAATGTGTTTTATACAATGTGTATATATCGTGTGTTCCTTTTATAAAGGACATCTGTTATCAGAATGATAGTTATTAAAAGTATTTCTCATTCGCTTCATTCTTGTTTAGATATTGCAATAGTCATCTGCAAGTATTAGGGCTAGTCCCGAAAAAAAGTCGAAAGAAAAAAGCCAGCGAGCAGAGCTTAAACACGGCCAAACCAAATCCAAAGCCTTCAACAGCGGAAATTTTACTGCCAAGTCATTGTGCCTCACAAAATATTTTATCAAAGCGGGGTGAAGGGGCCATTGGATGTAATGAAACTTCAAGACATTCATCAGAACATCGAGCTTCTAAGAAAGTTGAATTATTGACAACTAATCCGCTGTTGTCCAAGCTTGTTAGCACCTATTCTCAAGCCAATTTTCAGAAACGAAATTTGCTTCCATTCTATGGTAAGAAATATAGATTTTCATAATCAATATGATATAAAACAGAACAGATTTTTCATGTAAATTGCATATAATGTGAATTCAACCCAGAGTCGGAAGCTGTAGGAATCTGGTACTGTAATAGAAATTTAATACTGCATTTTTGAGAATATTTTTGAACAATCTAAAGGCAATCAGTCAGATGATTCAGGTTTTTAAGGAACATCACATGTATAACAGCTATATATATGGGATGAGCTTTAAAGGCTATTTGGGAATATAATCTATAAATTGGATTGTATAAACCTTTATTGTGCAGCCTGCTTAATGTGAATTACCTTAAAATATTTGGCCAATGCGCAGCACAGACAACCAAAGTTCTGTTTAATAAATCAGTACCATGTACCAGAATCTCAAGTGTGGACAGAAAATTGGAGTGTGTTCACATATTTGTATGTCTATACAGTATAAACTAAAAGTATGGTGCTATATCACCCAAAGAATGTTTATAAAAACCCATCAAATGATTCCCTGGTATCATACAAGCTTGTACTAATAGTATTTCCAGGGGTCGGTTGTTCGAAAGGCGTTTAGCTTAAATGGCGGATAAGCCAAAGTTTAAAAATACTCTCATACATCTTGCGAATGACTGAACCTGCATCTTATGCATTTAATATGTACTTCCATTGACAATTAAACTATTCACATTGAAATATTTCAGCTCAGTTGTTCAATAAATAGATAATTTGGTTTTCCATTTTGAACTTATCCACCGTTTAAGCTAAACGCCTTTCGAACAACCGGCCCCAGCACCCTAAAAGTCATCATGACACTAGGCAATTGTGACAAGTTTTGTATTTATTGGTGTCCTTTTAAAAAACTAAAAAAAAACTAAATTTACTGAAAAAATAAAATAATGGTTAAAGTGATAAACAGTGCTTTTAAAGGAAATTGGAAGGTAAACAAAAATTAATTACAAGGCATTTTCGTACAATTACAGTACATCCACTTTGGTCTTCCTGTGTTAGGCTCTGTGTGTTAATAGGGATGTTCAGGTTTCCATGCCTACAATGAAGACTGCAGGTGTCCTCATTATATTTAAGTACATTTTATATGTGTTTTTCCAATCAAAGGTATATCTAGTTCAGATGAAAATGAATCTGATGATAATGATGACATTTACAATTAAAGAAGAGGCAACTAAAAACTTGCACAGCCTCAGAAACTGAAAGGTAAATTTAAGATTTTTTTCTGTAAAAGTTAGTTATTGGCAGGACTGCAAAGTGGGTAATCTGGGGTATGGTCTTACCTGAAGATTTGAAAACTTTTAAACTATCAATCAGTATTAAATGCAAAACATTTGCATACCGGAAGGTATTAGTGTTTTCATTGTCTGAAATGCATAGAAATTAAACTGTGAGAAGAAAAACAAGATGAGATGAAAAATATTTGCAATGTGATCCAAAGAACACATTTTGACTTGTTTTTTAATCATTCAAAATATGTAAGCATCAAGGACACACTTAGATGGCCCTATTCCCATTGTTATATTATGTTAACCTTACAGGATTTGTCTATTTGCATATATATGTCATTTTATTTACTTGTGTAATATGGTATATATCCAGTACAAGGTGTTTGTTAATGAATTATGTTTATTGGTCTTTTCAGTTCAAGCAAAAAGCATTTAGCAGATGTCAAACAAAATTCCAGATCGGCTAAACTGCAACGATTACGCAAACAGTTACATGCAGAACTTCTGGGTGTAAGAAAAACAATCATTTCTCACAACAAAGATGTAAAGCAGTCTGATGAAGCCCTTCGTTTACTAATGACAGCAGTTAAAACCAACCCAGCTCTAACAACGTCAGCAATCCACAATGAAAACATTTATGTGATGAGGTGAGACAGTTATATTTTCCCCTTATCATTACAAAATTAGTAAATCAATAAATCAATAATCAATAAATATATATCCTAACAATTTATATTTTAGCTATTTCTGAAACAATTTGCTTGCAAACTAAAATAAACCCTACTACATGATATATTACTGTTATCTCCAACTTATCTAATTCTCCAGAAACAATGCCCTAACCCTTGAATTAAATTTAAAGCCCTTTGTCAATGAAATAATACCAAAAGTCAATACAATATAACAAAAACTTCAATGTCTTCAAATACTAATGAATATTTTGCCTGGTGATTTACGCCCTCCCTTAAAAATACAGTTGGACAGTGATGAGAATGAAGGATTTTTTTTGTGTGGCCTTACATATACATCTTTTGGGAAGATGCTTTTGGCTAAGAAATAAAACATATGCCACGTATATTAATCAATATTCTGAGTTGAAAAATATTAACAAAAGCCACCTCATCACAGTTAACAAATACATCAGCTATGTTAACAAAAACATTACGAAATATGATCAACATGCATGCTTGGTTGTTATGCGACCTTTTATTTTATGTCACGTTTTCTGAAAACAACCGGAAAATTTTAACAAGTTATGAAAATTTTTTGGTGCAGAATTCTTTGAGAAATATTTGGATTGTTGGATATAAATCTTTTTTGACAGTCTTCATCATATCACGTATTTCATCTATCGCGTGCTGTATGTATGTTGTTATCAAACGCTTTCGAACTTGTGATAACCGTTCTTTTGCTTCTTAGAAAACGTAAACGATCTACTTCAGCAAGACAAGATTTCGTGACTTGCACAGCTCAAGTACCAGGAAAAATGAAATGTGAACGACGCTCAATTCCTTACACGAAGTTTTGCTATCAACGTATCCTTGAATTAAGTCTTTTTTAAGAGTCGTGAAGCAATTTCGGTCGTAGCTAGGAATGATTTGTGCTATAGATATACACACGGCTGTATCCGATTATGTGTGGAAATTTTGTATGCATGTAAAAAGCATCGAAACAGATGTACAAGCCCAAATAAACCAGCTTCATCTGATAACAAGGGGTAAGAGTGGCTGTAATCCTCATATCCTTTCCCGTGGGGTCAAGAAGGGTCAGATTTTCAGACATAAGGTTTGTCCGAGATATCAAATACTGGTCTTGTTTTGTTCAAAAATCCTGCTTCCCTCGTCAAATACCTCTCCTGAGAAATCCCCAGTAATATTTTAAGGAAGTGTTTAATTGTGATGAAAATATACTTCCCAATACTACCCTAAAATTTACAATAAACAATTTTTACTCCTTATTTGACTTAACTTCTTTGAAGACATATTGAAAGACGAAAAACAGCAATTGTTTCAACATTGTACCGCCGATATCTCGCCGACGTCTAAATGTGCGCGAACCATATTAGATCTTCTTCACGATAGACCACTATGTCGCGAACATTCAACAGGACAGGTTAGTTTATCTTATTTTGGTCATTCATTCTAATGGTGAAAAAAAGTATAAACCATGCAAGTATACTTTATTATACCAATATAGAGAAATTATAGTTATTAGTGCACGTTTTGTAGACTTAATATTCTTACTAGGTTATGATATTCTCACTCCCTGCATGTTCCCTTTTAATGTTTTACATGTCCTGTTTTTATGCCCTCATTCACTCTCTCACATATCTATATTTTCTTTCTTTCTTCATAAATGTCAATCAAACTATTGTTATTCTCTTATTGTCCCAGCTAAATGAGCTAAATATGGTTATTACTGTTATGGCGTACAAAATTGCGAATATTATTACATCGGTCTTCTCCGTATAATCAGCAGCTCTATACTGCCATGGAAATTTTGGCTAAATATATATATACATACTGACATGTTTTTTTGAGGTTTGCTGACATCTCACAGGTTGCTGTAAATATATTTTTCTTCTATTCATGACCATCATAGAACTGTATGCATGGACCTATTATATTACTTTATACTTCTATAAATACACTGCAGTTCCATGCACTTATAGGCTTAGGCTAAACCTTGACTTTCTCATGAGCCAAACGCATTGAAAACAAAAGATAACAAGCAATAATGCATCGTTATCAATTCTTTTTATTAATGCGTTCGGCGCATGAGGAGTGTGACGTTTCACCTAGGCCCTTATTAACCTAATAGGTTTATCTCTTGAAGTTTGCATTTTTGGCATCTCTAGCCAGATACAAAGTATTTTCTCGGTCTGATTTGGCATTGGATTTATCCTTCCTGTCAATTTTTTTATAATCCTGTCTTTCTTTGAAGGTCGCGAGTCATCCGATGGCGCCGCCGGAACACGCAATTATTCCCCCGGTGCAAATACCTGTTCCAAAACCAGCAAAGAAACCAAGGAAAAAGCCACAAGTAAAGGCCGCCCCAGCTCCAAAACCTGCAAAATCAAGTCGTAAAAGCACGAAAAAAGATTCCAACAAGGCTGGCAAATCTGAGAGGAGCAAGAAAGGGAATAGTCAACCAGTATCTGGTAAAGTTAAACAGGAGCTTGTGCTTAACCGTACAGTGAAAGACTTAAATTTCCAGAAATCGATCTTTCCCACGGAAAGCTTAGAAAGAGATCAACAGCTGTCGATATACCCTATAAATGGGACCATCAAGTTAGAGCAGCTATCTTCGAACAAGAACGACATGTTTGATAATGACAGTTATAAGGATGAAGAAATGTTTGACGAAAATGAAATGGATGTAGACGATGGCCTAGATAACGATGATTTATCAGAAGATCTTGGTGATATTACCCCGACGGGATTACTGCGGGAGACCGTATTGAAACTGCCACCTGAAAGCCCTGACCCAATAGTTAGTTCACACACACAAACCCGTGTCTCGCCTGTCGAAGCCTTTTCTTTAAACTCTATTAACGAAGGCAGTTTTCACAAACCTATCGTTAGTGGCAACAGGATAGAGCTTCCGAGAAAGGATGGTCTATGCACAAACGATATTTCAACAAGAGTGAATCCTGTCCTACGACCTTCGCGTACTACTGTCATCACGTTACCAAAATACTCGAGTGCACATGCCGTTCCCTTAACGAGACAAATCTCCCCTGGGATAAACACGGACTACAACGCGTTCAAGCCGATCGGGCCGGCCGGTATTAAGTCAGAAGTTGGTACAAAGAAATCAGACCCCCGACCCATCGATGTAAACCACGGACTTCAGTTATTCCCGTTATCCTTCGACCCAGTTTTGAATTCATCAGTAGCGTGGGGCGGCGGGGGAAAACTTTTGCTAAACAACAGAGCACGACCTTTGTTACTGACCTCTCATCAAATGAACCCTATAACGTTTTCTCCACCCTCCTTATCCCCGCATGTCTCGCCTCAAATCGCGCTGGGAACGGCCTTTAATTTTGATCGGCCCACCGTGTTACAGCACTCGAATAGTCCCTCTCCAACATTGAGCCCCTTCAGCGCCCACTTACCAAATTCTCCGCACGGTAAGCTGGTCCCACGAACGTTGCGTTTGGAAAGTCGAGGTAGTTCAAATTCCAGCGACATTCACGATCCGTTTTTTGGTACGTCATTTGACAAGCCGTGAAGGTGTTGTAACGCATTTTTTTAAAGATTCCCTATAGATGTTAAGTATCATCTCTAAACTGCGACAAATTAGATTGTACATAGTTTTAGACAAATTCTTCTTGTATGCAGTATTAGAAGGTAAAATGTAAAACAATTTACAATAAATATTCTGTCAAATATTTGTGCAGTTACCTGAGATTGGACGGCTATATGATAATGGACAAGAGCAATTAAATAAAGATTACTTAGTATTGATAACGAGTAAATAAAGGTTCACACAAACGAGCCGACAATGACAGGCTTGCTTTCGGCTACAAAATATACAGCAATACAAGCTTATAATATCAAAGCAATCATTTGCATTCAGTTCCTATTAATGTTGTAAAGTTGTATGGGTAAAGACCATTGTCATGAATAAACCATAATACTTTACCATTGTCATTGAGATGAATAGGTTTATTTTTTAGGTAAAAGCCGAAAATGTAAGTCCCAAAAAAGACACTTGAACGGCAGTTTCAAATACTTCGTTAGAAAAATTTGCGAATCTCGTAGTATTCCTACTAAGGGGTGAAATCAATTACCAGACAATTCGCTTGTGACCAACAGGGCGTAGTTAAACTACACTTTACCGTACAGTTTTTTCGCACGAATGCATTTTTTAGCCCACAGAAAACAGGATTTTTATTTAAATTAATTAGGCAAGCTATGCATGTGTTTAAAATAGGTTTTTCAGTCATGAATACAATACCGGTAGTACGCAGATTAGGTGATCAGTTGGATTTTGTGATGGCTATAAAATATAATTGCCAAGAACACAATAGCTGAAACCCCAAAAGGACAATAAATAATCCTCTCCTTAGACAAGTGTGTTGTAGGGAAAAGCGATTTGTTGTCATCACTTATTATACGGTATGTATGTTATGTAAATCCAGCCTCATTTTAAAACTTGCCGGCAAACAATAATCTTCCTTGAATGTGCTTCGCTTGGTTCGAGAGCGTCCATCTACAATAATGGCAGAGTGGAAAAGTCGATTTCTGTCTCGCCTTTCTGGGAAGAAAATTAGTAAGTTAATTTTCAAAATGCTGTTTGTTGAGTTTCAATTATTTGCATGCATTCAAGCATGTTTTAACCACCACTTTCTTAACTTGCATCACTAGCGTGCTGTGAATACTTTACTTTAGAGGTTTACATACCAACTTGCTGGGGCAGCTTATTAACTATCTCAACTAAAGCTTTAACATTCGATATGCTATAATCCCCACCTAAGCAAAATTAGGCGATGGCAGATCGACAAAGCCAAAGGCAAAGGATAATTTCTTGGCATACGGCCCAAATGCTCGCAGTCCGGCCAAGACTGCATTTATACAATTTCAAGTTAGGTCAAGCAGTACCGTATTGAGGCAAAGAACTATCTTTATCAATATATAAAAACGAACGAAATATTGAGAGTAATGAAAAGTGGGTTTTTCTTTGGGCGATTATCCAGTCGAGCGTCATGCATGTATCTCCGGCGTCCCGGCTTTAACCTGTCTTTGCCGTTGTAAACTGATGTTCCCGCCAATAGAAAATAACTGTACTAGCCATTAAAGTGGCTCCCTACAGTAAGTTAGTATACAATTTTATTACGCAACAAATCAGATTCGCGTTCGGTCAGTAATTTGCAATGGTGTCGCTGAAATTATTTGGACTTTCAAATCCCCATTGAAGACTTAAATGCATTAGAGCCCAAAGGAATTTTTCAAAATATTTTTCAGCCGGTTAACCAGGATAACTTCCCTTAGCACGTTTTCTCGTAGTCGAACCCAGTTACCCAGAGTCGGCGAAAAGAAACTACTCGTCGGCAAAAGCAGCAATAAGAGAGCATTTGCGGGAAGCATTTACTAATATGCAGACTTTTTTATGCCGAATTACTGAATTTTATAGAAGATGAGACCGAAGGTGTTTGTTTTGAAAAAACAGCCACAGTGTACAGTGACAGCGTCATCATAGATGCGATACCTCAAAAAACAACATTGGTTGATGAAAATGACAATTATGTGAGGAAAAATACCAAAATAATCCAGGTGGAAACACAAGAGAAGCATCTGACCCGGCAAGAAGTGGTACATATGCTAAAATCTCGCTTCAAAGATGATCTTAGCCAATATCAAACTCGCAAAGATCAAATAGTGAGCAAAAATCCAGTTTTATGATACTCGTTAAGTATAACCATGCATTGTTTCTAATAAGGGCGTACACACTTGCAATTTTTGCTGCATGCGAATTTTAGTGCGATCATAAACAATCAAAGGGAATTCTTGCCTTTGATTGTCTATGCTGCGATTTACTTCTTTTGGCGGATGCAAGAAAGTGAATAGTTATGTTCTGTACATATACGTGCCATATAGATTCGTGCTCTAATCTGAACATCCGTAACTTGTCCACTCGATCACATCTACCAAATAGAAAATAACACCTAAAATCAAGTAGAAAACGATGAACTGTCGCACGAAAAGTAGGAAACGACAATGTCGAGACTAAACTAGTCGCACATGCGCATAAAATGACATTTCATGCAAAGCCCGCCCGTTGTTACATGTTATGCCGATTATACTTTATACCACAATATTTTTCAGTCTATTGATGATGTTTGCTCGGAGCCTTCGAGGTCGCCGAAGTTCACAGCAAGGAATCGTTATGGATATTATCCACAAAGCCCCGATACTTCTCATCCAGCCTTGCCAAGAAAAGTAGATAGCAAATCAGGTAATGTACCAACATAAAAATTCCATCATGAACGATTAATATAACTGAGCATGATTCTAAGTAATGATTAGTCAACAAATTTTTTCACGAATTTTGCCCATTCAAACTCCACTGTTATCTGATGAATGCGAATTCCAGAATTGTGCACGCATCCACATACCAATGTATAACGTTCCAGTATAACTATAGTTAAACGACAACTAGCTACCTTTTTATATAACGGACGTCTGTTTCATTTCATCAAGTTTCTACTGAATATTATGCAGGTACCATCTGGCTACAATGTGGGGAAGAAATCAAACAGGTGAAATTGCCTGAGGATGCAGCCACACTGGGCCACATCAAGCTATTGTTTCAAGACAATTTCCATTCCGAGTTGAAGAATTACGCTTTTAGTGCTGATCGCGGCATTTTACTTATCAGAGATCCTTTCACTCGAGCTTTTAAAGAGTTGAATGACGTTAGGTACAGGGACTGCTTTGTTTATTTATCTTTTATATATTAGTTTCAACGTATAGATGTGCGATGGCACTAATAAGCCACATTTAACTGTTTCAAATCAACAGGCATGTCCACCCAGGAAGTCATCTAAAACTACTAGCCCCAAAGAAAAAACCTTGTCGGAGTCCAGACCACGGCAAACTTAACAGTAGCTTCACTTATGACGAACGCAGACGATCCAGAAGTTTCAATTCATCAGAAATCGATGCCCTCTCTAAAGCAATTACACAAAAAGGAATATCACGCACAAGAGCAGGGAGCTATTCATTTCATGGAACCACGAAATCTGGATATATCGCGACTCCCAAACGTCATATAGTGTCTAGTACACCGAAGGATAAACATACGAGTGTTGTTCCTGCTAAAAATTTTCCAAATGATGTGTCAAGACCAAGCCCACTAAACAGGTGAGTATTATATTTTTAAATGTGTCATAAACCTAACCACGAAGGCTGCTCCAAACACGCACGAAGTATTTCTTTTTCAAAATCGTACAGGCTTTGTCTATCGCATGCAATTATACTGACTGCAAAGTATTTTAAAATATCAATAATGAAACATTTTATCAATAATAAAATATTTTTACAGGGTAAACTTACTGGTATTCGATTGTCCGACTGCTAGCTTCTCATTTAAGGGGATATACTTTATTTTAATATATTTGCTCTACGGCGATTTTTGTCTACAGGACAAAAAGCCCAGTTCCATTTTCACCGAGTTATGGTAAAGCTTGGCAAACTTTTACCCATAACGAAATGTCTCCCACATGCCATTCGAATGTTGGTTCGCCTACCCCAAAATCGATGCCGAATGGGGTGGTATCAAGGCTTGACAGTAACGAAGTCAGAAAGTAAGTACAAATTAAATCATTATAGACAAAATACATCAAAGTTACACGCTTATCGATATTTAATCGAAACCTAAAATTTATAGCTTCATGAAATTCAAAGCAGCATGAAATATTGACATTTTAAGGCCATCAAGAGGTGCTGCAGAAGCGCATCCGAACAGTCTTGCAGGTCTTCCGGAAGAAGCGTTAAGAACAGATAGTGTTAGTGACGTGACAAGTTATGACAATTCAATGGACTCGCTTGATGCTCCATTCAGGCCAGCCTACATCTCTTCTAGTTCTACCAACAAAATAAGATCTGCTAGTGACTCTGGAACGGAATCTATAATTGCTGTAAATTGTGGAAGAAGTTCTATAGGTATGTCATTCACTTTCCTGGAGTGTTTCATATTCCTTCCATTAAAAAAGAGCATGTTTAAGTAAAACAGCAAATACAGGGCTACGAGTTAAGCCACAGCATCAAATCTGAATGAGAGACACCATTGGGAAACGTTCTAATATATGAATTAGATTAGAGCTTCAGTAATAGGTCTTTTACTTTGCATAAATTTCAGAACCAAATACGAATCCACCTCATCCGAGTTTGATTTCAAGCAAAGAAACAGTGGGAGTTCTTTCTCCTTCGAAAGAGTATAAGGAAAAAGAGCAAGAATGTTCTACGGCAGAGTCGCCGAGGAGATCAATTGTTAGACCAAGAGTTTGGGTGGATACATCACACCGTGCAAGAGATGAATCAATTAGGGTGAAGTCCACATATCTCCGGAAAGATGTCAAGCAACTGAGGTTAAAGTTGAAGGAATTGCGCAGTCAACATGAATACAATTCTCACATCTTTCATTCCATGATTTCCAAGACAGGAAAGCGAATCACCCAGGCTATTGAAACTGTTGTGTCAAGTACGTCGATTTTTTGTATTGAAGTCTGTTGATTCGGTAGACTAAAGATTGATCTTGAGATTATTAAATGTTGTTTTGATTCGTTCCTATGATGGGGAGGGAAGGGAGGATCAACGGAAAGAGATTTTACAAGATAGCGATGTATAGAACTCTGTCAATGCCCTGTCCTGTCCTGTCCTGTCCTGTTTTGTCGTATCCTCTCCTGTCCTGTCCTGTCCTGTTTTGTCCTGTCCTGTTTTGTCGTGTCGTGTCGTGTCCTGTCCTGTCCTGTCCTGTCCTGTCCTGTCCTGTCCTGTCCTGTCCTGTCCTGTCCTGTCCTGTCCTGTCCTGTCCTGTCCTGTCCTGTCCTGTCCTGTCCTGTCCTGTCCTGTCCTGTCCTGTCCTGTCCTGTCCTGTCCTGTCCTGTCCTGTCCTGTCCTGTCCTGTCCTGTCCTGTCCTGTCCTGTCCTGTCCTGTCCTGTCCTGTCCTGTCCTGTCCTGTCCTGTCCTGTCCTGTCCTGTCCTGTCCTGTCCTGTCCTGTCCTGTCCTGTCCTGTCCTGTCCTGTCCTGTCCTGTCCTGTCCTGTCCTGTCCTGTCCTGTCCTGTCCTGTCCTGTCCTGTCCTGTCCTGTCCTGTCCTGTCCTGTCCTGTCCCGCTTGAAAGGGCCTGGACGTGATAAAGATACACTCTAAACATCTTTAAATTGGTAATAAGTGGTAGCAGCAAAACAATCTGTGGTATATTATAATGACAAATCAATCTCTTGTTGTTTAAAGATTCACAAAAGAACTCTAATATTCAACGACAAAAAATGCGAGATGAAGAAAGTGCATATCAAAGACGCAGCGATAATGCTGAAAAAACTATGAGGTTAGTTTGCACGATTGCTGAACCTCGTTTTCGGTAGCCTACAATGACGTCGCGCGTTGAGATAACAATGATGGAGATAGTGAAATCGTCAATGAAAAACTGATTATGAAATTCATATTCTTTATACTCGCAGACGTCTGGAGAATGAGATTGAGATGTTGCGAGAAGCAGCGGTCAATTATAAATCAAGTACAAGACAAAGTGAACTCGATGAAATTCATGCCTCCCTTGAAAATTTGAACCGATCAATTGCTTCCTTAAAGTGTAAGATACAATCATAATTCACTTCACCTATACGAAATAAGGGCGTAGGACGGCAGGAGTTCGAGTTGTGAACTAATATTCAGTGATAGAATTCAATTCAGTCTATCGGTCAAATATATTAATTTGTTTTTTTATATCAGCTGATTTTGAAAGCCTCAATAAAGATGCAAGGGGCGTAATGACCGCGGAAAAACATTCCTTATTTGAAGAAGAGAGGTAAATAATTATAATGAGAAATGATTACAAGAAATTGAGACGATTTTTCCACGATAATTTACACTGGATATCACTAATGTCAGCAGCATATGGATCCGATTATTATGATCATATCAGATAGCCGAATGAGATTCAGAAATTTTCTTAATTAAAAAAGTGCGTGATCCTCGTGCACTCATGCATGCGTGATCTGTGAAGAAGAATAATTCTACCTCGTAGGAATAAAAAGCATTTTATGGTAATTTTTTCTTTCCATAGATTTTTCAAAGAGGAGCCCCTGCGTTTAGGTCAACTTGTGAACCGCTCCCGCCATGCCATTGGTAACCTTCTATCATTACAAAAGTAAGAACACGTGGCTTTATGGTGTGAACTAACAGATTTAATTGTTCTGCCTTGGGTGTAATTTATTCGCATTTTATGATTGCAATAGGAAGTAACCGAACTTCTGAGTGCATGCAAAGGATTTTTTATGGTCAACTAGCATCACAATTGTATAGAGTTACTTAAACATCTTCCCCAACAATTGTATATAGTCACTTGAAGATCTTCCCCAGCACATTCATCGAGATACTCTCTTCTTATAGGCTGGCGCAACAGGACGCAAACAAGGTACCCAGAACTGGAAATAGCTGTCCTGTTGTAAGTATATATTAATGTTTCCCGCACCATTTCTCCACAAGCTCACACAGGACTGGAGAAAAGTATTTTATCTCTTAATTAGTCGCATATACGCTGTTTGCAATTCATTTCCCGGCATTCTTTGCTATAGGTTTTAAAGAGTCCGATGAAGGAAACAGATACAATAAAACGTAATGGGAGTTACAGGCCGGGCGCCGTTGTTACTCAGGTATATATATTTGTATTGCATTCTATAGAGAAATCAGCCTAAATATTCCCAGCTTTTCAGGTGTGCTTGCTGGAGCCGACCTGCATAATCGCTTCCCTTCTCAATTATCTATACTGCGTCACAAATCGTCCCTTGTGCCCGGGGAAAGCTGAGGCCTAGTCAGACGTAATTCATAAAATCCTATATTTATCCGGTTTGTCAATGTCGTATATGTCCTGACACAGATATCTCACAAAACCAAAGTTGAATATGGCGGAGCAAGAACAACTGCTGCGTATAATCAAAACAACGGTTCTCAGGTTTGTGTGAAAAAGATTATAGTCATTTTTTATTTCCGTTTTATTTATCACTGATGCCGAAGGAGAGTTTAGTCTGCCCATACGGGCAAATATTTTTATCAAACTGACCACAGTTTGAAAATTCGCGGACCGATTTGTAAATTCCGCAAATTGGGTGAAAAGTCGTCACTTTTTATTCGACTGCGTGCATTCCTTCGTTGCATTTAAGGAATATTCATCATTCAATTCGACTTCCTCATCATCATTCAATTCGACAAAGCAAGTTTCTGTTTGGCCAAATAGACGGTTTGGCTAATCTTTTAAGCATGTTTTGACCGCAACCAGCGACCTACGTCACAACGCAGACGTTTGCCTTTCGTTGGTAATATTTGTGAAAGTAACTGTAAGAAGTTAGTTCCTCCTCTACAGATGCATGTATCGATAACGAATATTTTAAGCAGAAAATGTTTTTTGCAAATTGTAGCGCGTTTAGGTAAGCCGACTTTCCACTCTATCGTTTCTCAAGTGTAAAACCAATCTTTTTCGTTTTTCAGGCAAGCGTTGCTAAAACGAAGGTTCGTTTCAGTGATTCCGCAGAATGCAGAACTTATCGTCAATAATATTCACAGCTGCGTTCTATATCACATAGGTCCAACTTAAGGGTAAGTTTGAACCAGATAGTTTACCCAGGGAGTTGGTACAAAAGAGTTACTTAACCCTCGTGAATTAACATGCATTCCGTAAATCTTGGGTAAAAACAGGCGGATAGGAAGAGGGCGAGGTTCCGATCACAATGTCCGAAGTCATAACTCTCCTGTTTGTAGCCCATCCAGTTTCAGTAAAGTAGACTTTCAACTACATGTAAGCTCAGAAAACATCCAAATAGACGTTGCCATCAATTGGGTTGCGCTACATATATGCAAAACCTGCTTTAACAGGGACTAATTGGTACACTATACAACAAATCATGGTTCAAACTAAACGGTCTACATGCGAGGGTTAAGAAAATATGTATAGGCTCACGGTATATTCAACTAACTGACTGACCTAGAGAATAGCTGGCATGGCATGGCAAAGGAGTCTGAACATAGAACTTTGTAAACGATGCTTTATTTATGCTTTAACTTATACACAAGAACGCTCTACGGCCACTTTTGTTTTAACTTAGGACAAATAAATATCTCGTGTATAAGGAATATATATATATACAAGGAATAAAATTAAAATATCTCTTTTTTGCATGGTTGAATATTAAAGCTATGTTGCGCGATTCAATGGCCAATGTAAACGCACTGTTATACGGCGCAATTTTTCATGCTACTTGCAATTTACAATTCCACTTTTCAGAGATGTAAATATGGCAAATACGAAACTTTTGTGTTAATCGCTGTTTATTACACTCTATGCACGTTTCTCTCATTTACATTTGAAGACTCTTCATGCAGTAATTTACATCTCTTAAAGGCAGAGTTCAATTATCTACAAGTTAATTGCAAAAAAAATTGCACTGTGCACAGGGCCTTAAAAAAGCGAATATTAAATAATGTTATACAACCAGAAACTGACTTTTCACCAGACTGTTTGCGATGGAAATAACCCAACTTTAAACACTGTTCTATAAGACTGGCTCCTCGATCATCGTTGAGTCCGTTGAAGCATTGTTTTGAAATACCATTGCTTGTCGCAGGACTTACGGAAACGCATATGCATGAATGCGGTTTTTGAGCTCCATTAAATTTGAACTCCGCTTTAAGGTATATCTTAAACGCGCAACCATCTGCTAACGCTGTTTTTCAGTGCAATTGCAACAAAAGAGAATAGCGTAGAAGTTCAATATCATTGTTCTTTAAATCTAGAACGTTTCCACTTGGTTTTTCAATTTTTTCCTAGCTGGCGTGCAATGTCCGTTGTGGCACGTACAGAACACAAACGTCGAGTTACTGCTGATATTAAAATCCATACATTTTGAAACAGATACGTTATTCCAACATCCTCTTTCTTGGATTTCCAGTTTCGTTCCGTTTTTTCTCCATAAGCTGAAGCATCCAAATGCGCTGCAAGACCTTTTGCCACCAACTTTTCCATTCCTGTAGTAATCGCATTCTGAAATAGCAAGCATGCAAACATCACGTTGGGAGGAAGTACAATATATACGTGCAGCGACGTCGAGTAATAGCAATTGACCGCTCAAAGCTGTAACCTTTAATTACTGTAGGTAGGTTGTAACCTATTGGGCCCTACCCAAGTCAGAAAATGCATTTCAATCAAACTGCAAGTAGATTTTCTGAGTCAGAGTCTAAAAGAAGCAACAAACCATCTAAATAATCGCGCGACCAGACTAAGGTATAATTGAAAGGAAGAAGAACATAGTCAACATTTTACTCAACAGTCTTCAATTATTATAGAGAAACGACTAGCAAAAAACTGACCGACTATAAGCGCTCACAGGGAGAACAAATTTAGAACTTCGTATATTGTCATGGCTAGCGCAGAAAACAATTTCTCTGACTGAGAGAACGCAGCTGGTGGCTATAATAGCTTTGGGGGTTTATAAATTTGATACTAAAAACTAGTCTAATATGACTCGAATTTGAATATGAATTGAATTTGCATGCCAACAATGTACATACCAACACTTTCGGTTTTGATTATTAGTGGCTGTGATCTGTTTGATGTCAGAGAGCCTCGATAGGATGTTACGTCAATAACATATGTTGTATTCACGGATAGGTGATCAAACGTGAAGAGTCGTGCATTAGACCGTAATAATCTCAACCGCCGACCCGTCCTTCCTGGTGTATAGGCCGTGAGACGTATCCATCGATTTAGCTCTGTTGGCAGAAGTATCGTTTATATAACCTGTAACTTTGCCCTTGACCAAGCTAGCTATTTTCAATGATGGAACTATAAAAAAGGGGTGATAAATTATTGTTTTCAACATTGTATCCGTCACAGATAAGAGCTGAGAAACTTTAGAATTGCAATCTCAACTCTCTACTGAAATTGACTCTATACGTCTCTGTATTTCTTCATAAATAATTAAACTTTTCTAGCGCATGCGCCGTAACAGATCAGTGCACTTACCTGGTAAATAAGGCTTAGAAGGTAAACCATTACTGTTACAGAATTCAGATGTGCAACATTTTAAAGTAAAAATCCCAGGAGGCATGTTACAAAAAAGCTTTTGCCAACCAATTTTTTCGGTGCAGCCATATGTAACGTTTCCTCCAATGGTATGATTAAAACATGAATGTATCGTGTAGCAATTGTCTAGGGTGACATCGTCACAATACGCTCCAGAGCATCTACAGTGCAGAGGGGTGACTAAAATGAAATTCACATGTTATTGTTATCATAATGACTTTAAATTACGATCTCCCTTATATCTCTCTAATATCCGGCCTTCTTTGATGTTTTTACACTGATTACGTATGTTGGGAGCCCCGATGTGTCCCAATATGGTTGACCTCTGGAAAAAGTCATGTGAATTCCCGCAATGAATCAAACTTCCAACCACGGTTACGTAATTAGCATGAAATGCGGCAGCGTTTTTTATCATATCTCTTGGCAAACAACATGCTTTCCTTTGTTTTTGTCTCGAAAGCGATCTTTCCCGGACGCTTCTCCCAGACATGCATGTCGTATTTAATAGTCAATCAAACATTTAATTACCGTTATCGCTTTGTGGCTATCAAATTTTTGCTAACGAATTTATCGGAAATCATATGCATATTTGATATTTTATCTCTTTGGCGCAACATTTGTGATTTTTGCTGTTGTTGGGTGAAATTTCCTGTGATAAGTGCTTCCTCTTATTCTCAAAAGTCAAAACCAGTCGACACCATGAATTTCCGGGTCGACATTGTGCTTGACAATGAGCCCAAATTGCTAAACAGTTTGAGGTATCATTGAATTTCTCACACAAAAACAAACCCAGTCGAACATTTTTCTCAAATTAAAATCGTAACATCAGAAGCCGGCCTAACACATTTTGGACTGATGCGTTAGAAGTAATCTATAAATTGCAATGCCAATAAACCCTATCAGTCATGATTTGTGTCACGTGTTATATATTCGCCATTTTTACGTCATTTTTACGTCCCTTCAAGGGGCTATAAACTTGTGCCATGATCTTGTGTTCTGACCTGGAAACGGAGGTCGTGAAAAAACCAGACCGCTCGAAATTTTCATATTTATGTTACCTTATTTCACTGATGATGATTTTAAATCAACCGGCGCCCTTGCATTAAAGTGCAGAATTTTTTTAACTATTGATTCTTGTTACAAAATCCCAACTTTATGGAGTTTAATTTGTATAACAAATTTGTCCTGATTGAAAAAGGCTAAAATAAATTTACCCTAATCCCAGCTTCGATAGAATAATCTAGAAATCGTCTTGGATTGGCAATTAATTTAATGTTTCACATACATTCAACTTGACAAATGACAAACAACGCCCATGCATGCAACTCAATTTTCATCTCTTGTTATTTTAATTATTTATCGCTTTGAAGTTTGAACGCATACGTTTTCTAATTATTTTGTAATTACACCGCCCCATAGTCAATCGTGGGAAGTCGATCGTGCTGATGTCAATATGTTTTGCTGATGTTTTTAACTTCGATGGAATATTCCGTTATCTCGTCGTGCATGTGAAACGAAACATCTGCATGAGACATCCAGCTGCATGAACGTCACTTGAGACAGCTGACGAGCTTTTATCCCGAAATTTAGAGCTAGATCTTGGCTGACATTATGTATCTAAATCCTAGTCGCGACGTATGTCGCCGACCGTCATGCAGTTAACGCGTCGGTTGCCAGAGACGAAAGAATATATTCTAAATGTGCTCTATCGGGTATGAAACGAATCTGTGGCTGCACTATGCAACGCGCTCTTTATACATACTAATTTTTTTTACAAATGTCATAGATATATTTGAAGAGAAACAATTTCCTCACTTTTTGGAAACTATACTAATCGCGTTCTGATTTATATCATGATGATCCTCCATTGACGATGTTCTGCGAAATCAGAACCAGATTTTGCAGTATCATCGCTATATAACCTATAGCTAGCTATTGCATGGCGCCTTGTTGTAGTTGAAGCCATTGCAATATTGGATCATTTTTTTTGGAAATTAATTGCTTTAAATCTCATTAGTAAATCTCGTCAGGTAAATTGTATGCGCAGGATATTTGTTCTACGGATGTTTCTGATGCATGCAATGCATGGCGTCGAGTGGCAGACTGGCAGTGCCAGTGGCAGTGGTTTGAACTCTTTCCACTTGATATATAACATCTTACTAAAAGCATATATATAACATTTATGTTTTATAACTTCTTCTTTCCAGCGCGTCCTCGATCGTTGGCTCTAGTGCATGATGAAAAAAGCGGCATATATATAAGAAAACTCACACGACGTTTTAAAAAACCGATCCGCTCTGAATATATTCTGCCAGTCTCTATATAAAGATACGTTGCTTGGCTTGACGGCTGCCGCTCTGCAAGTTCACAAAACAATATAAAAACTGAGCATGCAAGCGTTATAGTTCGTGAGTTCCTGCCAAAATATATTGAGCATAAGTCAATTTAATTTTCGTTTTAGTGAGATTCGAAGACTATATATACATATTTATTTGATATGTTATATATGCATGATGACAACAAGAATAATTTTCAAGGTTGGTTCGTGAACGGTTACTGCATGAATTAAACGTTTACTTTTAGCGATGATTGATGTATTGTATAGTGTAATTCATGCACCAACTTGTTGCAATATTATATGTACTGAAGTAGCCTAATATAGGGCTTTTGCGAAGCCGAAGAACATAAGAAGCGCTATATTAAGTTTAGTTTCAAATATATTATAGTTCGCAGTTAGTTCGCAGACCGATCAAAATATCAAAACAGGAAACACAAACATTTAGACTTTTATTGTTTCACTTAAAAGGCGGTCCTACTGGGTTTTTAAACAAAATTGGCCAAGATCTTTTATCGATGAACGCCGGGAAGAAATTTTATAGTCGTGTTGATTTGGAATTAAATAGAAAGTGCACCGCCCTTTGGTTCGAGTATATAAATATGTACGCATAAAATATAATTTTCACTAAAGAATATAACTCTATGCCTATGGGAAGCCGAAATTAATCTTTTAAAAAGAGAATAACTGACAATGAACCATGATTTAAACGTATATTCCGAGAAAATGGTACTGCAGTATATATAACCTTTATTGAATCCTTAATCATGAATATGATTTCAGCCTTTAGGTGAAGTTTTTCTATCCCACATGCATTAAACCCGTGCATGCGCATTGTGCACATATATATATTAAACATAATAAACTTTAAACTTTAAACATATATACATAGATTTATATATCGTATTCAAAAGCTTAATTGTTTATCTCTGTCTTTAGCTTCCTTTTTTCTCTCATAGAGAAACAATCTGTATATAATCGGTGCGATAAACTCTCAAATAAACGCAATATTTTCAGTCGAAACTCAAAAGTGTAAGAAACTGTGCAAACCGTGTATATTTGCGTATTAATATCAGAGACGACCAGGAACTTATATAGATCAAAATGCGTCCAAGTAATTGTGTGGTCATTTGTATTTACACTATGGATAACCACAAACCGATAAGCCAAAGAACGCACCCGTATTGTGTTCAGGTTTTCGAGGATCAGTTGGTTATACGTCACGTACATTTGCGACAGAAAAAAAACGGAACTAAATCAAAGATTCTTCAGTTCTATATCATTCTAATTTACATTCATTGCGGCTCTTTTGCCAGCCTAAGTGACGAAGAGAAAATTTTGTAAAAGAGAATGCTAGAAAAATCTCCGACTAAAATTTTCCGCCTGATATAGAGTTGATATTGATGGGAGTTGGTTCATTAGTATATTTGATTGAAACAATGATATATGCATGCTAACCGGCGTAAACAAGAAGTTATGCGGAACCGAGAATGCCTTATACATACGCCAATGTGCGATAAAATCTACAGCATATGTTGCACTGTGGCAGACAATAATTGCCTTAAGACAAGAAGTACGCCATGAATTACAATAGATCCCAAGTCCATGAGCCGCGCCCTTTGTTCGCTTTCACGTAAACGTCGACGTTAAGTTTGAAAACGTTCCCCAATTTTGTTCAATGTGAAAATGAAATATCACAATTTCTTGACTCTTTTGCGCAGTGGTATTGTCTATATATTGTGATATCCTAATGCTTTCACTCCAAATTATAGTCCAGCATATGTAATTAAGTTCTGTCGATCGCGAAAAGCTAATGTAGTTACATTAATCTCCTTTTTATAATATGCTCAAGGTCGATTTGTATAGAAGTGATGAAGGATTTTACACGGAAATCCCATGATCGTGATGCTGATGGCTATATCTACAGGGCTCAATAGTTTTGCTCCTTGTGTAGCTATGTTTACATAATTTCATTGAACAATTTGCGAAGTGAAATTTTATCTCTTAGACTATGTATCCTGGGGATGCATCCCGAGAATTTTTAAATGCGAAAATCGGTTACGCTAGGAATATAAAAGAATCCTACATATTTGGTATCGAAATTCCCAATCTATACGCGAAAATTCTGAATGAGGTCATAACAAGTTGGTCTGGTAGGCTAATAGCTTACGAAATTAACTTCGCCAAACAATTCATCACGCGATTCAGTAAACAGCACGCAATCAACCCTAATCTGTTTAACAAATGCAACATGTGGCTGTAACGTACGAAGATATTTAAATTGTTACCTTTTCTAGCCCAAACAAGAATGAGCGCCAAGCAGAGTAACTTCATCTTGCGATTTGACCTGGAAAATAGAATTTTCTTGTACATGCGTTGTATCCCAGCCGACGTGTTTGTGTGACCCTTCCGGGCGTGCGCCCGCCTTTTATGCTATTTTGCTTATCCGGTGGCTTGCATGTTTGCTCCCTCTTGAGTGGGCATCATGTCGTGGAAGGAACAATTAATCCCGCTAATATCCGCTACCCTGTTTTGCCTGATACGCATGCGGTGACTATTTTGAGCACATAACATGAGGGCGTATATCATAGCTAAGCTAAGCTACACAAGTCAGCCAGTTAAGCATATTAGGGCTGCTTTCCACTGTCGCGTTTTTTGTACGTACGTATAAGTTTAAAACCTTCTATAAGTTGTTATATAATTGATATTATGCCAGAAAAAACATACCAAATCTTCAACCGAATTCAACCCTACGCATCTATTCAATCGTGGATTTTTAAAGTATCATTCAAATGATTTTAAACTTTTACGTGCGTTTATAGGTATAGCTATGTGCAAAAAACGCGACAGTAGAAGGCAGCCGTAATATCGGATAAGGGCAAAAAACTGTAATGTGATATAGACCTATTACGCTGCGTATGTGAAAAAAAACGTATAGTCTACGGCATTTAAAGTATATATGCATGCTATTGGACTCAGCCGACAAGCTATTCAAATCACGATAAATATGGCTAACTTGAACTTAAACTATATATATATATATATATATATATATATATATATATATATATATATATATATATATATATATATATATATATATACACATGTCTTTTTTACACACCGTACCCACGCATGTCAATCTCAAATGCATGTTATATCCTCACTATACGATACAATGTGCGCAATCACTTTTGGTTTAAAATGTGGTTGTTATGGTCATTATAACAATTTTGCGTCAATGAATGGTAAATTTTTTATAAATTACTCAATTGTCTGCGATATGACTTTTGTTAACTGGTTCATTTCCTGCGGGAGGAATGGGCTCCGCCTCCTCTGTCTTGTGTTTTGAATAATTTTGAGAAATTTTGGCATATTCCGCCTGTCCGACATTCCACCACAGCACGGAGGTCTCAACTCTCAACTTTTGCGGAGCAATGCCAAGTATATTCGAGCAGTCGAGCTTTTACATAATTACATTGATTGCAATTTAATATAGGATTCGATAATCTGTTTCCCCTCGGCCCAAATGGATATATATGCAACTGCTTAGTGAACATATAGCGAAAAGTAGCTAGAACACTAAACAATAATTTGATTACGAATATATATGATTACAAAAATATATCATTACGAATCTATTATCAAAGCATCATCAGACAGACTCAATAGATATATAAAAGTGATAAGTTACCAATGTGATTTATGTCAGTATATCACAACTTCTTATTCCTTTTCGTAACTCGCTCATAAAAACAATTCCTTTCTTGATCGATGCGTTATTGTGATGAAAAGTAGCGTATCTTTCAGTCAGGGTTACGCACTCGCGGGGCTGACAGAAACAACTAGGCTACAGCCTACAGGGCATAACTTGAAGTGGAAAATGGTTTTGATGGGGGTTGGAGGCGTGGACAAGCTAGACCTAGAACTATATACGTAGTTTAAAAAAAAGAGCGACATATATCTGCATGTTGCATATGACTGTTGCTTTCAATCTGTCTTGTTGTAATGAATTTAATTTTTGTGTTGTTCGTGGTTATCACGCAGGCTGCGTGCCGGATCGAAATTATTGTGACTGAACGAGCGACTTCTCGTTCGGAGAAGCTAAAACGCCTCAAACTCAGTCCCTTTTCTTTTAGAAACACAATATGTATTCAATTATTTCAGTTCTATCTAGTTTGTCATAGAATGTTTTCTAGACGGATTTCAGTGTCGTGTTTTGTACGTACTATACATGGCAATTGCTGATTAATAGAAAGGCAGAAGTATATACATTCATGAGTTAATCTTAAATTCAGAACACACTTTTGACATTACTTCCTTGGCATATACACCTTGTGGTGATTTATTCTGCCCGAATCACCCGACATTCGCCATTGTGCGTACAAAAACGCGACGGTGGAATTGCCATATTCCCGCAAATAGTAAAAACACGTTTTCTTGCAAGTTTTGAAACATAACAAGAAAATCTTGAAGTGTATTTTCAAATTTTACGTCGTATCTAGACGTCCTGTGAATGCGGAATTCGTGCATCGCTCGGAACTGTAACCGCGCAAAATAGTCTGAAACCACTTATCTGATAAAAACAAATCAAGTCAATACAGACCGCCGTAGATTTTCGTATGCTTTTTATATTGCATTGCTTATGCCTGAAATTAGCTACATAGCCTCACAGGGAATTTTTATAGTGAGAATGGTGGACTTTAGATCTATAGGCTATATTGACTAGTTGTGCGGAAAGATCGCGCGCAAACGGGTTAGACGCGGCGAATGCTTTTGTCCTTATGATAATGGGGTCGTACCGAACAAATTAATAATTATGAAGTGATTTGTTCAAGCTTACGTCTATAAAGACAGAGGAAATTACACACTATTAAGGACAAAGTAGTAAGTAATTTCAGAATTCAAAATTTAGGCCTACTTTGGAATTGCGCTTTTTTAATGCGATATTTTTCAATCCTTATTTTTTTTTCTATTCCTTATTTCTATATTATCCCACGTTACTATTGACGGAGTATTGTCATATGGTGATAACTAAATGTTATGGACTGTAGCTAATAGCTTTTAATGTATCTGCTAATTAGTTTTAACACTAGTCAAAACAAGACTTCGAATTAACAAGGGGACAGACTGTACAAGGTCAAAATATTATCACAATGTAGTCTGTCTGATAAAGATAAATCTGGAGTGTCGATGATTGACTGAATTTGTTTCACATTCGATGCTCCATGGAAAAATCAAAAGGAATTTAAATATTTAAACACGAAATACTGACTGCACACAAGATTTTACTTGTCCCACCCATACCTATAATCCCCTCACAATGAACCAGACAATTCACTATATTTTGTTTGTGTATGCAAGGTTATATTGACGTTCTTACTGCCTGGCTATATAAAGTAAACAACAGGACGTATTACCACCATCCCACGACTGATCTCACATGCACTCACCTTGGAGCACCGATGACAACCATAAGGAGAGCTGAATGAGAGCTTATGAATGCTTAACCTTATTGAATTATAATCCACTCGTAATTGTAGACAAATCTACTTCTTAACGTTAACTTGGTCTCATAGTTTGACCCACCCACAAGGCACAAAGAATGGAGTCGTCGTAAAAAACGTTCAGTCGAACTTTCTTATGTTATTGCATGCATGCAAACGTTCATGCGTCATTTCCCCTTATGTTGTCATGCAGCCCATGACACATGTTTGAATTTTCATGCAACGCTCGTATCAAACGAAATGACATAAAACTGAGTACAACTCATTTCATATATAGTCGCTCTCTGTATAATGAAGAACTCTGTCATAAATGATAAATGCATAAATGAAGTATATATCATTCAATTTTCTATTGTTTGAATTGCATTCGAGGCGAATCACGTGATGTATGAACTAAGCCTTAGACTCGAAACTCAGAAGAACACTCCTTTACACCGACTCTCTATAGCTGGTAACCGTCTTCGGCTCAGATTATATAGCTTTTGTTTTTCAATTGTATATATTGGTTAACATGTTCCTTAAAAAAAAGGCACGGTGACCTCCATTTTTTTACGTGCATTATAACTGTTTTACAGACTAACAGACAAAGACAGACTAACGGGATTATATAGTAAAGTCATAAAAAACTTTAATATCATGTTCAGAAATTTCAAAACTTTCGTTACACGAAGTCACGCAAGATACTATATACTATGGAAACAATATTCACAACAAGAAAACTTGCGATAATGCAATTGTGCACATGCGTTAGTTACTGGTCCACTGGTTCTATGAATCTGTGTATATAACGTATTGTGTCCTATTGTCCCACTCTCATTAGTTGTCATTCTTCCCTAATCAGATAATTTTAAAGTAAACATACGGTACCCGAACGCATGCTTTAACGTATTTTGCTTACCGAATTGAATCAATTCTGTCCAAAAGTGCCTCACGCCGAGTGAGACTGCATGGTATCTGAGCTTCCCTTTACTCCGTTGCACATGCATGTGCAAATTGCTTTTACATTTAATGATTATTTCGCATGTTGAGGCTGGTTTCCAGAAAGTGCATGGAATTCTTTTATCGAACCAAAATTTTTGCTCAGTTTTCTTTCCAATCGGGATTCCTTGCAATCAAGCGGATACTCTTGATCAATCACAACTGAAAAAAACCAAGCAAAAATACTCTTTCGATCGAAAAGTTCCGCCTAGTGGAAATTTAACCGTCTTTATATAAACACCAAAATTAATGGTAATAGGATTCATAGATTTCTACCCGCAAAGGCTTTTAAAGGCAATATATAGGCGGTAAAGTGCAGTTCAATCATTGTATTTGTGGCTATGTCTTCAAATATAAGAAATTCATCTGATTCCACGGGCGCTATTTCATGGCGAAATGCGAAAAATTTCGCCTGTTTCTTTTGAATTGTGCATGGCCACTTGAATAAATTAAGTCTGCTTGATTTCAGAAGGAGCCAGCGAAATACTGCGCATTTCCGGCTGAGAGATAGCACCCGTGGAACCAGGGCTTTAGTACAGTGGAAAGCGGCTAAGCTTCGTAAATTCACCACACACGTTGCTACTATTACCTATTATTATTTGATTTTTCATTGCCATTTTTTATATCATGCACTGTTATTTTGAATGCGTTGTTGATGAAACGGATTAGCCCTGACCCTGCACGTATTAAGTGCAGTACTCACTCATATGGCTGGCTCTAGTGCATTCAAACAGCGCATTACATTGTTATAATTTATATGATATATAAATATTATTTATACCCTGGCATTTGGTTTGATAAATATCTACGCTACGGTAAAAATTATGTGCATACGCCGGAGGAAAGCATCCCACAATCAAGTTCCTAGCAAGTTTAAGCGATCGTTACAGTTGAAAAACAGG